AAAAATAAATATATATATATATATTTAGTGTGTTAGGGAGAGAGATGGCGGTTATCATAAGGTGAGGTTGCGTACTAACTCTGGCCTCAGAAGGCCTGGGGGTGGAACCACATTCTAGCAACTTAGGAGCCAGGAGAGAGAATAAATCAAAAGTAAAAGCTGCCAAACAGTTAACTTCATTTAAATTTTAACAACAACCCTTGAGCCAGTATTACCATCTTTTTACTCCTTTTCTGAGACTGAGTCTCTGTGGCCCAGGCTGGAGAGTGCAGTGGTGCAATCTCGGCTCACTGCAACCTCCGCCTCCCGGGGTCAAGCAATTCTCCTGCCTCAGCCACCCGAATAGCTGGGATTACAGGCGCGTGCCAACACACCCAGCTAATTTTTGTACTTTTAGTAGAGACGGGATTTCACTATGTTGGCCAGGCTGATCTCAAACTCCTGAGCTCAAGTGATCCACCCACTTGGCCTCCCAAAGTGCTGGGATTAGAGGCGTGAGCCACTGCACCCGGCCAGTATTATCATCTTTTTACAGAAAAAGAAACCAAGTCTCTAATAAGTTGCTTCAGGTCACATAGCTAGGATGCAGCAGAGCCTAGAGCGGGCTCTAAAGCTGCCATCTTTGCTCAGCGCTCTTCAGTCTCCCAGAGTTCCCAGAGTTCCCACTGGGACCCAAACAAAAGCCCCTAGAGTCAGGAGCTGCAGGCCGGGCACATGTGCAAGGACTGGATGACTAATTGTTGCCAGCACAGCATCATGACCACCCCTCCACCAGCCCCTAACCCCTGAGCCAGGCTGACCCAGCTCTTTTTCCCTCTAAATTTGTCATCTCTCACTGGGGGAGATGTGGGCATGTGTGCGAAGGGTTAGGACATGTGGCTGACCTGCCGCAAAAGGAGAACTTGATCTGAAAGAAAAAAATGGGGTTATTTGTCTTGCTTGCTCCCTTCCTGCAAATTGGTTTCCCTCTCTGTCCACAAATTGTGGCAAAAGAGTTTTGCAGAAATATTTTTAATACAATATTTTAAACTATAGGAAATGGGAGTAGGGTAGACCTCTGAGAGTATTTT